GAAAAGCATATGATCTTGTCATATACTTCCTTTTTGAAGTATATGGTTTCTCTACACGCATCCCCGTGTAGTCGATTCATATGATCCAGAAATTAAGAGCGCAGCCTCTTTACCTGAGATCTTAGTGCTACATGGTGCCAAATGCACCATCTTGATCAGTCTGTCTATAGAGAAGATGAGCTCTGTCCTGCTCTTATGTTTAGGCGGTAGACCAAACATGAAATCCAGACTGACCGACTTCCAGCAATTAGATGGTATCGGTATGGTCTTCAATGCGCACTGCTAGACGGGACATGCTTAATGCGGTGGACGGTCGCTTCGTAAAGGAGCTGCCATGTACTAAGCGGGTACACCTTAAAGCAGCGCGAGGATGCGGTTGTAACATCTTACCTCCGCGCGCGGTGGTGGTGGTGTTGGTCGGCTGCATAAAGCGCCGAGCCAAGTGTTGCAGGCTGCTTCAAACGATCCGCGCAACGAACTATTAAAACAAACACCAAATGTGTCGCGGAAGCTGTTTTTAGTCTTTCTGAGCTGATGTAGTTAATTCAAGACAGACTTATAATTTATAGAAGGTAATAAAAATATAAATATTAGTACTGAGTGGTCAAAATATAAGTATTGGATACGCGTCTCTTTAGAAGCGTATCCGTGCGTGCGAGCTTAACATATAATTAAGCTCGCTAATGACGTCTTTCTAAAGCGTCATCATGACGCCCAGTCCCAACTGGCGTCATCCCCGTTGAATGTGAATCCATCCATGGATATCACATTCACGAGGGTGGGTCACATTGATGTAATGGCAGGCAGCCTGCCCGTTAAGTATTCGATACTTAACGAACCGTGTAACTTTTAGCCCGTTACATAATGCGCTGATACCCTTCGCAGAAATAATATAGTTTGCTACCCACCAATATAGGGCCACCAACATTCCTCTGACACTTGTAAGAATGTCTTTTTACTGCCCAGGGGGTGCTTACTACTGCATTTAATCTGAAACATTGTGAAGGGTATTGAAGATATTGGCGTGTATCATGAGTTCAACAATCGCAAGCAGATAACTGGTGCAATATATAGCGTACAAATCGCATGTACTCGATAGTGGCAAATTTTGTTACTGCTTGGCCCAGCGACATCCGATATGATAGAAAGCTGAAAATTTTGAGATGGGTAGGAGCGGATCCAGTAGCTCAACAAGTTCTGGAGCTCCAAAGATACATATGCAGTGTATTGGAATTCCGTCAGTGTGTGGTTGTGTCTTGCAATATTGGCCAGCAGAAGCAATAAAGTGATTTTAGGGAAGCTTTATCGGCTTGTTCTCTAATATTAGACCATTAAGTACTTCTTTCATACTATAATACTACTGACATGATATTTTCAAGACAAGTTCAGTTCTGAACCTGTCAAACAGCCTTAATCACTGCATGTGTTGTTTTATTCCCATTTTTACGCCATCTTGCTAGGAATTAAGTACTCGAGAGTATAGCGATGCAATTGCTAGAGATGTGGACGACAGCGCGACTCGGGGCATTAGGTGTTGACGGTGTGTTTGCACCTTATATTGTGGGTATGTTGCCGTCTCATGGTGGTGATGATGACAACGTGGAGGACGCCAAGTTCAACATCCATCAGGTGCTTATGGGCTGGCTCGCCCCGGAAGACGAGGTTTGTTCGTTTCGACCGCTTTAATTGGACACAGTTGTTGTCTCTAATCGTACTTTTGGTGGGGTTATGTATAAGGAGCGTGCACAGGAGTTTGTAGATGAGCTTGTCAAGCTTGCAGACAACCCGACGGAGCTTACGAACGCGGCAATGGCGTTAGCGATACAGAGCAATGAGGACAAGCAGATTGAGGACGATATCAATCGGATACTGGAGTACGAGGAAGAGCTGAAAGCTTCGGCTCCTACTTTTGTACCTCGGAAGTTTCTGTCACCGATTGTGGCGGATTTCCACCCGACGGCGAGTCCAGAGATTGGGTTTCGTGAAGAAGCGCAGTCAGCTTTATCTCCTCGTCCTTTGAAAATTCATTTGCACAACAATGAGGGTTATGGAGAAAAGGACGAGAAGGTGAATTCTGGAGAAGATGAGCAAAGTGAAGAAAAAGAGGACGGGGCGGTGATGCAGAACGAAGACAGCTTCTTCTGGTCCGTGGCCTACGAGGTAGAGTGGACTGGCTTTGACTGGGGACCATGGGCGCCACTTTTAGTTTGTTAGGATCAAAAAGCTGTGCTCCTGGTCAATGGTTGTTTTGTGCGGTAGGTCAAGTAGGAGGACAGGGAGTGCTAAGTATGTTGTGTTCTGGTGGTGTTGGGCAGTTGGTGAACCATTTGCAACTCAAGTTCCCGGACATCGATCCGAACCGACTGTGCGACCTCCTGCGGCTTCTAGGACTGGATGTCGATAGGGCACATGCCGTGCTGAAGGCGACGATCGAGCGCGAGTCGGTTGGTCCCGGCCAAGTGTGCCGCCACTACTTGCAGGGCGAGTGTCGTCGCGCAGACTGCATGGTGCGTCTGTCATTTGCGAGATAAGACTTGGGCTCTTTAGGAGACAGAAGTGGCGTAGTGGTTGCTCACAAGCTTCTGCCTCCTCTTGTTGGCTCACGTTGGCTTGCCTGTGGCTGTAGTTTCTGCACGATACGAACAAGATCACGTGCCGCTTCTGGCTGCGTGGTACGTGCTTGCAAGCGCAGCATTGCGTTTTCGCACACGATTTCTGTGAATACTACTCGATGGACGATAACATGCTCGGCCAGCGTGATTACGACAGCGAAGACGAAATGGGTCAGAACGGCGCGCCTCTGGATATCCAAGCCGAGGACATGTTCCCGTCACTTCAGAGCGCCTCAAAAGTGTCTTTTACTTCACCGCCAGTACTGTACGGAAGGGATAATACTTCGCCGACAGAAGTTACTACTAACACGTATCCGTCGACGGATGATGTAGTAGCGAATCTCACCATGAATTTCGCTCGCGCTGTAGCACTACAGCCAACATCTGCAGCGCTTAAGTATTCTTCTTCCAGTAATGGTAGATATGGAACGGGCCTGTCGCGACGAATGCCACCGCCACCTCCTGCGTATCGCACGCTATATCACAAAGCAGGGAGCAGTACTGAGTGGGTTTCCACGGGTCAGGCGGTGGCGACGCAGTATCTGGAGCTGCGTGAGCAGGCCTATGAAATGGCTTGCGCGCGCAATAAGTGTTTCATGGGTGCTACTCAGGCATATCGAAAGTATGAAATGCTATTGGGAACTACTAGAGGATGCTGACACTCACCTCGCTAATTATGTGTGCTTGTATTTGCAGTGGCAACAAAGCGCTGGCTAAAGAACTGTCAAAACAAGGGCACGAATACAACGCCAAGATGAAACACTTCCACTTTCTAGCAGCGTCCGATATTTTTGAGTCGCGTAATCCGCCCAACCAACTGTACATGGACCGAATGATGGATCTACACGGACTGCACGTCGCTGAAGCTGTCGAGTTTCTCATACAAATGTTGCCAAAGCTCGCAGACGAAGGCGTGGATGAAATTTACGTGGTTACAGGCTCAGGGCATCATTCGAAGGGCCCTCACGGCAATGCGCGTCTACTGCCGGCAGTTGAGCGTTTTCTGGCTGCCGAGGGTTATCAGTTTACACCTGTAGCGGATGGCGCAGGCTTTGTGGGAATGTTGCTCGTAGACTTGCGGTGGTGATGATCGAGCTGTAAATCGAGTAAACGGACAAAGCATGAGTATCAGTGTTTTGTGTACGTAATTGTAAGGATAACGAACGTTGCAGCGTCAAGTAGGAAGGACACGAAGCGAATGGTTTGGCAATCAGTCGACCAGCCACTTCACCTTTGAAACTTGCGCGCATCGCTGTGTATTAACCGAGTAGTTTGTTCCTGAAGGCTGATCTTCTCCTCTGCTTCCTAGACGTCAAGCAACAGTCACGTCACTACCTCTCCTTCTTCACTTAATTGTCGCGCGTGTAGTCGTGCATTTCCTTGACGTCCTGGTGCACGACGTGTTTGAATCCTTCAGGCTTGAAAATAAACACGTTACAAAATCCACCACTGTACGCATCACGGTGCGTCGCATGGTAAATGGCTCGTTTCCCGAGTTCCACAGCCTCATCATCCGTCAAATCCCACCGCCAATTCGTGTCCAGCACACCATAGGCGTACGTCGAGCCCGAGCCGACGCTGAATTTGGGTGCAACCTTACTGGCTGGAATCCGAGAGCCTTCATCGTCCACATAGTACAGTACAGGTTTCCCATTGTCATAACCCATCATCATCATACCCAATGACATGCCATAACGCTTGTAATAGTTGCACGTATTGGCAATGAGCTTCGAAGCTGCACGGACCGAGATGCGATGACGATTACGTAGTTCATACATACGACATTGCACAGCCAGATTACGTTGCCAAAACTGACAATCAGCAGCTCCACCAGCTAATGTAGCCAAGATATAATCATTAATGGGGTTCACCTTCTTGACTTGTTGTGACGCAATAAAGGGGCCCATGGTCGAACGTGAATCAACAGCCACGATAATACCACCGTCGTAGATGAAAGCTAGGGTTGTGGTCCCCTTTGCAAATTGCAGGGATTGCTCATTATCTTCGGTATACTTGACCTTAAAGTGTTCACGTGAGTAAGCAGCTGGATCTGCTACGGGCGGGAGCATAAAGCCAGCGGATAGGGCAGTCGAAGCGCTTGCGTGCTCACATAGATCATCTACAGCATTCATGTGCATATTGGGCATTGCACCACCGTAGTTTACAGAAGCACCACGGCTACCAGCACGTAAAAAGTTGAGGTTTACAACAGGTGTACTCATATCTACGATGCTTCTTGGGGGGTTCAGAGGGGATTTTACTATGAGATCTAAAGTCGAGGTGGTAGGAAGTATTGTCTGTATTACAAGAGGGGATTCTTCAAGCGACATTCCGATTATGTAATGTTGGTGTGGTGCAATTTGATCAGCTGCCTACCGGTTAATCGATGATACCGGTATTTGGTAACATGTCGCTGATGATGATGATACGCATCATTGTAATCAGAGTGCATGTAGTCAGCCTGACTGACATGGGTTACCGATATAACAGACAGGACAATGAGACGGCCAGCAATAAGAATGTTTGTTAATCAGATGAAATGTCCATATCAGTTATAAGTTAGTACATAAAAGTAAACGTACACCAACAAGTACATGCCGATGGCTACATCTACAGGTGATCCATGTGAAAGCGAATCATGTCATCGAGCACACTCGGTCGTGTCATTGCCAACTGCTCCACCAAATGATCGTCACTTTTTATGACGTTTGGTTTTAGGTGCTCGACTTTCAACTGCTCGTCCAAAACTGACACGAGAGCGTCAAACTGCTTCGAGTCGAACGTGATGTTTGGCGGCCTCAGGCTTGACGTCGATGACATCATTGGTAAAGCACACGAAGAACAACTGGATGTCGGACTGGACGGAGCTCTATTGAAAGTCGACAAACTCCATGTGGATGGCAGCAACTCATCCGAGCCGATAGGGCTGTCATGGGCTCTCTGTAGCGGCGGCACGGCAGTGACGGTCATAGGCATGGTATTCCTTATATTCAGCTCCGGGTGGTGCGTCTTCATGTGTCGGTTCAAGTTGCCAGTGGTGCTGAAGGTCCTACCACACGTGGGCGACTGACACACGTGTACGGGGCTGCCCAAATGAAACTTCATGTGCTTGGATAGCTTGTTCTCGCTCCGGAATGTGCAGATGCAGCCGACAACAGGACATTTGAGCGATATGATGGGGCCGTGCAGGCGCTTATGGCGCGAGAGGTTGCCCTCAGTACTAAAACGACGGCCGCATGTACGTATCGGGCAGATGTGGCGCTTCCCGCCCGCGTGCTTTTTGAGGTGCTCGTCCAGCGAGAAGCTGTTGCTGAATGAGCGCTCGCAGTACGGCACCGAACACGGGAGTACTACTACCTGTCGGACATTTCCAGGATTTACGCTGTCTACAAGCATTTGTGGTGGTCTTGCGTGTTGATTCATGACGTCGATGCTAATGTTACGCGCTAGATTCGAAAATGAGAGTCATGCGGCGTGGAATTGACAGCTTGCTGAGATGGGAAATGGTATCAGAAAACGGTCAGCTTCATGGTCCGTCCCCTTTGCGTTTTGTCAACCGGTATGTACACGGATCTTGTCATCATTGCAACTGTTCCATGCTGACGCCACACCAGCAAACAAAACAAACAGCGTAGCGCCGAAACGTGGGCCGGGCGACGCTGAGGACGTTTTTTCTCGAAGTATTCGACATCTTCTGCAAGGACACAGCAGAGTGCAACTGCAACGCCCACTGGGACCCCGTCAAACACGCATCCGCTGCTACTAAGTCTGCAACCGGAAACATGGAAATCTACTGCCGACACTTTTGCAATCAGACGTGGTCCATTGAAGCTACAATGTACGGATTGAAATTCCTGTACTAAAGAGCATCATGTGTCACGTGTACAATTCCGACAAGTCGGTCAAAGTCGCCCGACTCACTCCTGAGAACGGGCACCGATCCTATTAATAACGTTGATTCGTCAATGTCGCCGCTGCTCAGATCTTTTTCGTGACGGCTTGCAATTACGAGTCCTGCCTCAGGACGGCAACATCATAGCGGCATTTCATGGCGTCTTCATCACTGAGCCGGGACAAGACTTTTTTGAATGCCCCGTCAAGCTACAGCTACGTCGTTTATATCTAACTTAAAAACTTGGAACATAAGCAGAAGTCGTCGATGAGTGCACGTGATCCCGGGTGTATTGCAGCAATTGGCGTCGTAGATGTCCGGCTTGCGCCAAACTCGTTCCATGCACTTTCGACTAGGCAAGCATGGTCGCCGTCAGATTTCGCGTGTGGGGATTCTAGCCGATCATCACGAGTGACTACCCTGCTATCTTGCACAAGGTTACTTGAGATTGGTTTACTTGTTTCACAGCTGATATCGGTTCTGCCTAAAGGCTCGTGCGATGATAGAAGTCTGTAATTCTTCAACTTTGACGTGGCGGCTTGAGCAGAACAGCTCAAGTCAAGCGAGACATTCAAAGCCAATGTTGTCGTTAGATACCAGAACGCAAATGCAAGAAGAAATGGGTACGTTCATTACGGGTAGCTTTGTTTGTAGCGAAGCACGAGTGGTGGCACGCTTACGCCGTTCAAGAAATTGCACTTGATGTCATGTAAGGACCAACTTAGAGAAACGGGGTTCGTTCAGTTGCTGCACCATTCTCGTTACCACGGTAGTTGCGCCAGATGCGGCGTCCTACGAAGAACACCAGCACAACCAATGCAACAAAACCAACTGCCGCGATCGCAACCATGCCAAATAGCCAACGCCACACATGGTGACTGTGTCTGCCATTTATGGGCGTTGTTGAAGCTTCGTCCACGCTCAAACACTTTGTTGTCGCCACCTTCTTGAACCACTTGGCTGACGGACGAGGAATACGAGCGAGGTCAGACGGCGTCGGCTCGTAGAAGTCGGGAGACCCAGATTCGGACGTATAGTTGACATAGTACAGACCGAAACGTGACTCGTACGAGCCCCACTCGTAGTTATCCAGGAACGACCAAGCCGTGTAGCCGATGACAGGGATATGTTCTTCAGTGATGGCCTTGTGCACTTGATTCAGATACGCCTTGAAGTACCATAGTTGGTCTGGGTTGTCGATCTCGTCGTCTCCGCACCATCCATTCTCGGTGAGCAGAATGTCGGCAGCCTTGTCGTGCTGATGCAGCCACTTGATGGTTGCGAGATATCCTGGTGGGTAAGCGGTAAACAAAGCACAGTGCGAATCTTGTTGTGCTTTCTTGGTACGTTGTCTGGTACCTGGCACGGTCTGAGAGATATCGACGCCGCGATCACGTTCCCATCCGACTGCTAACGTGTTGCAGCTAGTTTTTGACGCACTAGAGTCACAGTCGGTAGCAGCTTGAGTCGAATAGTGATTGAGCATGAATAGGTCGTAGGAGCCCTTCAACAGCTCAGACTCCTCAGACGAGAAACTGGGAAGGCGATCACCCACAACTTCACGCATGACCGACGGATAGTCCCCATTAACAATTGGTGAGAGGAACCAGCCAATGTCGAATTGCATCTTACGTGATGCAGCTTCCACATCAGCAGGGTTCTTTGCATCCAATGGATACGCGTAGTCAGCATTGAGTACAATGGCAATCCGAGCCTTGTCGTTAATAACATGAGTACTCTTCAGTTTGCGAAATTGCTGAACTGCTTTCGCATGAGAAAGCAGCACATTGTGCGTGGCCTCGTACACTTGAGTCGGTGAACCAGTAAAGCCTGGAGCCATGCTTCCACCAGCGTAACCGGTTGTCGTGAATGTGAGCGGTTCGTTAAATGTCGTCCAGAGGTTCACCTTGCTGCCGTACTCGTGGAAGATGAGCATCGCAAACTCTGCAAAATGCTGGACAAGATCCGGGTTGAGCCATCCTTGAGGTGACAATTCAGTATGTAGCTCCAGGGGCAAGTCCCAGTGGTACAGCGTCAGAATTGGCGCAATGTTGTTTGCGTTGAGTTCATCAATCAACGAATGGTAGAACGTGATACCCTCTGGATTCGGGCGCATGCCACGAATAGCGGGGTCCCACCTCATTGCCCGTGACCACGAAATGGAGAATCGAAAGCTCTGGAGTCCCATCTCCACCATCAGCTGGATATCGTCCTTGTAGCGATGATAAAAGTCGTCGGCCACATTTGCACACTTGATACCTGGTCGTTCACGACAGAACTGGTCCCAGATACTCGGTGTACGTCCCCCTTCTTTTACAGCACCTTCGACTTGATACGCAGCAGTAGCCGATCCAAAGAGAAAATCATCCGCGAAACAATACGAGTCGGCCGCAGTACCAGCATTCAACATTGCAAACACTAGAGCTGCTGTCCCTCCAACAAGATGAAAAAGTTGATGCATTCGTACGACCTCAATGTATTTTTTCTTAACGTCTTCTGTCTAACTTGGAACGTACAATAATGAAGAGCATGTGATGTCAAGAGATCTCATTTCAATAGAAGACCTCAGGAATCTTTCATTATGATTCATGCAATCAGTTGCATGCTATCTCATCTACCACGATTGGGGGCTTACGAGATCCATCCAACACATCCTTTCAAATGATTTATAGAGAACCAAGTGGTACTTCAAGAGGATGCACGTCTTGTTTTCTCATCATGTATTCATTCAATCGTTATAGGTTTCGTGATTTTCTTCCTCCTCCATTAGCACCTTCCTTTGCGTCAAAATCAGTGCCACCATGGTGGATTCCAATGCAAATGTCGACTCGTACGTGTTCGTCCTATTCAGCATCCTTTCTTCAGCCTTTCAAGCACAAACACTCATCTTCCAGTTGTAACTAAATGAAAAACATGCAGTTCTTGAGGTCATTGTGCAGCTCGACGAAGTCAAAGTTGGACGAACTCGAGTTGAACGAACCCACGGTGGACGCGCCATCGGAACCTTCATTGAGGAAGAAGCGCGCACGAGCAGCAGCCAAATGTGCGTAGTAAGCAGGCGTGGCGAAAGACACCGACCGGGTGCAGCGCGCAAATGTGTACCCAAGATGGTACGTCAGACGTTGCACGTCCTCTGCTGACATTTTGTTCTCGTCGTGCAAAACAGTGTAGTGACAGGGAACACTCGTGCCTTGAATGCCACTGTGACCGTACAAGAAGAAGTCAAAGCGGTGCGAATCGACAATTCCAGTGTCAATCACCGTTCCGGGGATCACATTGCCCTTCCGATCGGCTTCGCGCTGATTCACCGGGAAGGCCCGCATATGGTGGCGTTTGTTCACAATGATGAACGTAATCGGCGGGTTGTAGTCCTCAGAGATCATCTTAAACGCCTTTCGAAGCGCGCGCATTTCCACTTGCAAGATATCATAGCACTGGCCTTCGCTGACACCGTCGCGGTAATAGATGACATGCTCTGGCTTTCGGCTAGTGCTCTGGTAGTACGCCAAAAAGAGGTCGCGCAACATGTGTGGCAGTAGCTGAATATCGCTAGAAGCCTTCTGCGCAGCTACACGAGCAACATACTTCGCCGAGTAGCGATCCAGCGAAGCAACAACGGAAGCAATGGACGGTCGTGAGCCTATGCCAGAGCGAGGGTGTTCGACATCGGCACCGATAATGATCGTTGGAGCATCACTCACTAGGGGCAATGGCTCGCGCAGGATCGAGTTCTTTCCGCTAAGCTTCATGTTGATCTTCAAGCAGACGTTGGCACAGTACTGCGGTTTTGCACTGCGAACGTTCTGGGACACGATGCATTGACTCGGAATTCCCAACACTGTATCGGACATGCGCTTGATATCGCCATAGGATCCAATGCTTCTGTCCTGTTTTATCACCATAATGAGCTGCGGAGGGCCTTTGTTGCGCTCTTTCATCGCCTGAAAACACATTTTCATGAGCTCTTCGACTTGCGCACCACGATGCTGGTCCATATGAATCATATGTGGGTCACTATCCTCGATATTCAATCCACTCTTGCCTGCCATATCCAACAAGTTGCGGACAAAGCCCTGGACATCACGTTCTCCGATCTTGGCAGTGACAACAACTCCCCAGTTTCGCATCGTAGCGCCCTCCACAAAACGCTTGTCCCTCAAATTCCATTGCCCTCCAGACGGCCGTTCGGATACATTCGCATACTGCACGTCAGGCGGATCCATAACACGAGCATCCGTCGTTTCGAGACGCTGCTCCACCTTAATGCCAAAGGCGGCCAGGTATGGGTCATTCTCGAAACCGGCCTGGCGCACTTGATCAACAATTCTTTCCTGACGAGCGCGCGGAGGCTGACTGGTCTGTCGGATAATTTCTGCCGTATCCAGCTCGTTAATATTTGCGCAGCGCTGTCCCGGCGCCACCTCACAAAGCTCGATTGGCAGCCAGTTCTCCTTGCCCGGTCTTTTACTTCCAACGTTTACCAATGGTAAATGCGGATACCTCAAGTTCACGTTGTACCGCTTGCCGAAATAGTCGGCAACAGACATCGATTCTCCCTTGATTTCCACCATAGTCTCATTTGCCGGAAGAGCACTAATGCCGAAAATCGCGCGCTTTCGATCCTTGCGGTGGGTAGGCACTATTTCAATCTTTCGCAACGCACGTGCCAAGTTTTTCCCGTCGCGGTCTTGTAGGGAACGGACGTCGTTCGCTGAGCGGGCGTTCAAAACAGGAAGCACAATTTCCATAAGCTCTTTAGGAGCATAAAACACCGTAGCAGCTTGATCTACATTCATAAGCAGTTTGCGATCCGCAACGCGGATGGCCTGATGGTAGCCCCAGCACAGCTCTTTGCCGCCCTTGAGTGGGAACGGCTTCTTCATAGAGAAAAAGTTGCGACCCACAGCAATCAAGCGTTGGGCACCCAAGTGGCGCGCGGCCACATCCAAAGCTTGTAGAACTGGCATCACATTTACATCTGGGTTCGAGTAGTAGTCCGTTAATGTGCTCGTCGAAATCGTTTCAGCAAGCTTCATCTTCACCACAAATGTGCGTGGGCCTCTGAAAGGGCGACGAGGTGCCTCACCAGCAGCAGGAGGAGGTGGAGGTGGCGGTGTAGGACTGGGGCCATCTGGATTAACATCGACGAAGGTCTTGCAGTGTGCTTCCCACGATAGCATAGCAGGTGCGTACATGGCAGACATACCATCATGAACAACACGAATTCCTCCAAAATCGACTTCGTACTGTCTCAGGGCAGCGTTAATCACGTTTCGCACTAAGGATCGCGGAAGGGGTCGTTCCGGACGCTGTTCGCGCTTAGGTAGCGCTGGAACGTCATTCATCTCCATGTCCTTGACATCCGTGTCTTTCTTCTCGTTCTTTTCCGTTTCCTTTATCTCACCATCATCCATGGTCTCGTTTTTTTGGTCTACTGAAGCATCGCCAGATGGACCATACTTCGAGTCCGTCGCGACGTCAGGAGAACGTTCAACGTCCACGTGGTATTTGAAAATCTCGGCCGGAGCCGAGTCCACCGACACAGCAAAAAAATTCACCTGCAGCTGCATTGACTTGCCACCTTTAGCCAAACCTGGGCGACGACAAATGAGAAATTCTTGCTGCAGATCGGGGTCGTCAGCACTCACTTCACGCGCTTCAGCGCGGCCACTCCACTCTTCCACAAGACGAGGATCAGCCAACGGTTCTCCAACAGCTTCGTATCCGGAGCCAACCACCGTGCCAACACCAGGGCCGCACTCTCCGCGACCACCACTGCGACCTCCTCCGCCACCGCTACGGCCACCTCCACGGCCTCCACCGCCATATCCACGGTCACCTCCACGACCACTTCCACGGCGGTCACCACTGGCCCCACGCTCGTCACGACGCCCATAGCTATGGTCCCCTCCACGTCGGTCCCCTCCAGCACGGTCTCCACCACCGCCATAACCTCGATCATCTCGTCCACCGGCACTACTGGCCCCATAGCCACGTTCTTCACGTCCTCCATAGCCACGATCATCACGTCCTCCATAGGAAGGACGATCACCTCCTGCTCCTCTTACGTACCCACGATCATCTCGACTGCTGCCACGTGAGCGGTCATCATACCCCCCTCCCGTTCCACTGGAATATCCACGAGACCGATCGTCATACACTCCACTTCCATGGCTACTTCCTCCTCCATATCCAGTACGATCTCCATACCCACTTCGACTTTGATCGTACCCTCCAGCAGACGAAGCACCATAACCACCTCGACTATCGTAACTGGAAGAGCCTCCACCATAGGATCCATGACCAGTGGAACCTCCACCGTAACCCCCGCGATCATCGTACCCTCCACTTGCGTAACTCCCGGTATTGTAACCGTAATCCCCTCGACTTCCCGCGTACCCCCTGGAACCTCCAGAACTTGATACACCGTAACCCCCTCCCCCTCGATTGTAATCTTCGTAACCAGATGCCGAACGACTGTAATCCCCGCCACTACGAGAGTCTGAACCCCGTCGTTGATCTCCACCGTACCCCCCACGTTGACTATAACCTCCCCCACTCCCTACACGATTAGGATCATCGTAACCACGACCAGAGGCACTACCACGTGAACTGTAGCCACGTTGATCACTATGACCGCCGCCACTTTCACTGTAACTCATGGTATTATATCTCGTTTCCTCGCTCGAGAAGTGAAAGATATTTTGGTAAACAATTATTGGCTGATAATACAATTATAAAGTTGAATTGTAGCTATTAATTTCATTATTTACATTTTTACTCATTTAAAGCAGTGTATTTGTAAATATTTACTTCTGTGGACAGGACGGTTTTGATATTTACACCAATCACAGATCGATTCATTGCGTCCAGTCATTTCATTGTCATGGACGACCGACAGTATGGTTCATTCGTAGTTTAGTCTTCTTGTAGTGGGAATGCATATCGTTTGCCCTATTTGCCACTCACGTCACTTTTCCGTGCGACGATTGGGTCTTCCGTGCTATTGTACTTGGCGGCTAGAATAGGTCCCTCTTGTGGATGTTGGGTCCATCAGCCTGACGTGAAAGTCCTTGGAGACGACTAGAAGCGCTGGGCACTTTGGGAGGTGCTGACTCGTGTTTTGCGGTCTAACACCTCCAGAAGAATCAGCATTTCGACATGTCTATTTGACATATTGTAGATAGTATTTGTTGCTCTATCGCTGGTGCGCGAGGAGGAATTGATTTACAATGATTCAGTCGAAAGTGATGACTAACTAGAATCATCTCTCCTACTCAATCTGAGCGCCCTTTTCTTCCATTCTTTTCATATTATAAGCAATAGATACCCAATGATATACAGTTATTAGCTCTAACTGAATCCGCATACTATCGGATCAATATGTAGAGACCAAATAAAAAGCTGAGGGACTCGAGTATCACATGATCAACATCCGCAATAAATGTTGACTTTTATAGTAAGAGTCTACCACCACGTAGCTATACGTATACTGCCTTCATTGCATCTATACCATCCTGTAAAAGGTCACTTTCATGTGTGCCACCTCATATTTGCTCCACCATTTTCTTTATCGTTTCTACCAATGAAAACTCATTTCTAACCGATCACAAAATCTTCGCGACGCGTCATAATCAATTGGAAATTGTCCCGTGGGAAGATGATGAACCTTAGCAGCAAAGACAAGTCTCTTGGCGCGTACGTTGTCCATCTCCTCTTCCTTTCATCTTCATCTCTACATTCTCTTCTCTCTTCTCATACTTGTCTCTCCTTTTCACTACGTTTAGTTCCTTTTTAATGACGCATAAGAACAATATCGCTCTATGGTCGGCTTTACTCGTTCTTCTCTTCTTTTGCTATCATTTGTTTAGTGACGGGGACTTTTCCTTCATGATGGTACGTCTATGTCCCTTTTTTGGACTCCGAATGCAATACTCCTCGCCAAATTCTCACTACTTTTGATGGTAATTGACTTGTCTAGACGATGGGCTCCTTTGTTCGAGCTTTTGGCTTTGTTTTCCTCATCTTTAAAGCATTTTCGCAACGCTCAGTGGCTGGATTATCCCTCAAGACATTGGAGTTGTATGCGTTTGTGTTTCTCTTTCGTCTTAGCTCCATTCTTCGGTACCAGGGGTATCTCCCATACGATCGAAGTGGAGACTGGCTCTACACGTTCTTGGAGATCATAGCACTCACGCTCTGCTGTGGAGTCATTTATCTTGTGACAATACGCTTTAATGCGACGTACGAGTTGCGTTATGACACTTTTGGATGGCTACATGTACCCACGGAGCTCGGTGCACTCTACATCCTCGTGCCCTGCATGGTCTTTGGCGTTGTACGTACAATACTATATGTGACTAGTTTTGAGTGTACAGGATTATTATTAAAGGTTTTTGTATATGTCTTGTGACGTGTGATGTAGCTTATACATCCGAATTTGAACCGTAACTGGTTGTCGGATGTGTCGTGGACTATTGCACTGTACATTGAGGCCGTTGCTATCCTACCTCAGCTGTTCATGTTCCAGAAACGTGTATGTACTTTGTTGATTTGATGGAGGTTTGTTTTTGCAATGACTCATTTATAATTGATACTGTTGACTCAGGGTGGTGGTGCTGTGGAGTCGTGTATCTCGCACTTCGTGTATGCTCTTGCATTTGGTAGCTTCTTGCACCTCGTGTTTTGGTTCTCGTCGTACCATGAGCTAGGGGAGAAGGAAGCCGGCCAGCACGTTGGCTACATGGTGGTTTTTGTGCAGATTGGCCACATGCTTATGATGGCGGATTTCCTGTACTACTACTTCAAGAGGTATGCCCGTTTGTGTCGGTTGATTTGTTGAAAGGTGCTAATTGTTACATTGTTGTGTGCGCTTAGCATGAAAGAAGGAGGCCCGATGATGCTACCTACGCATGGCGCTTACCAGGCGTAAGAGCGTCTGCAGGTTGCATCAAAACGGACCGGAAAATGGAGACGGAAGAAGAATATAGCGTGCTGCTAACCCTGCCAAGCAAAAGCGGGGCAGGAAGAATAATCAAGAAAAAGACAACCCGATAGCATGTTGAACTTTAACAGTGCTTTACGTGAAGCTAATGTATTTCTTTTTTGTCGTCGACGTCGTCTTGTTGATAGCAGACACGTTGGATATATTTCGTAGTACAAGAAGCAAAAGGTGTACAGCTTACGGGAGCTGGAATGGTGCTTGAAAAGCTCTGCGTTGCGTTACTACTGCCTTCGTCAGGAATGGTACCACCCACCGATATCATACTACACAGACCTTGCAATCGGCTAGCGTAGTACAGCTTTTCATCAAGTTTTCCTCTTACGTAGAGCAGATGCCACTACATCATGTATGGTAAGCAATTTGCAACTGGACAGTAAGGTGCGTATGTAAAACTTCCATGTGTGAAGGTCACCAAATGCCGTTGAAAATTTGGTACGGTACGCTAATTCACGAGGAGAAGATGAAGAGCGTCAAGGGAGGGATCCAACCGTTTTTGCCAGCCGCATGATGCCGCCGTCTTCTTCGTTCGAAGTGGCTGCTTTCTCCGCGAGCTAATAATCATGATTATAATCTACAATAGCATCACTTGCTATCAATCGGTCCACCGTGGTGCTTGCCCACGATAAGTCCGTGTCCGCAACGCTACGAACGGTAACGCAGGTACTGCAGACTTTCATCATATCATGGTGCCCCTTTCTCGTCAGCTTGTTCGAAGTGTTCTTAAATGGGAGACGGCGTTTGTACTTAGAGCATGGACCGCAGCAAATACGTCCGCATAATCGGCAGTGATGACGTCGAACAAGCAGACCAAACTTGCGCGAGCACACCATGCAAGAGCGTTGCGTCTCATAAGGTACCCACTCAGGTGGATGCACAAGGAACTTGACCAACCACGCCAGCTGTGCCGGCGACAGAATATCCAGGACCATCACACCTTGGTTGTTGCGGATCGTCATGCCTGCGTTTTCACTTACAAGAGCTGCTGCAACCTTCCACAGCCCCCGTGACACAGCAATATGCAGCACCGTATTACCAGCCCCGTCGACAGTATTGGGGTCACTGCCATTTTTCATGAGTAACTGTACGATCGTCGGGTCGTCCTCACCTTGTGCCGTGAGCACACTAGCAACGATGGGAAAGACATCTCGCTTGCTCTTGATTGTCGGGTCTGCTCCTCGCATTAAGAGTAATGCGACAACCTTCACCGCTGACGGTGCAGAACACGTAGCAGCAAAATGCAACGGGGTGTTGCCATTGCGATCGGGCATGTTGACAAGTCGTCGAAATTCCGGCGCAGCTAGCAGTCGAGCAGCTTCAAGGTTACCATACTTGGCTGCAATATGTAGCGCAATCTGTTGCTGTTTATGAGACTGAATCGAGGCCAAGTCAATGGCTTTGCCGTCGTACATGGCAAGGAGAGACGTCACGACAGCTTCATCACCACGTTTCGCAGCACGATGCAATGCCGTGTATCCCAAGGCGTCAGGCTTATAAGGATGATAGCCCATTTTCTTCCATTTATTAGCCGTCACCATACTAAAACGCATCGACTCGCTCTCCCGAATGGTATTCAGGGTACTCAACGTCTGCGAAACTCGAGTAGATACACGCTCATTGGTCCAGACGTGTAGTTTCTGCAGTGCAACTGGTATCTCATAGTCAGAGTCCATAGTAGAAGTCGATGAAAAGGACAATTCTTCCTCTTCTTTCGAAGAAGCACAATAAAACGTCATTTCTTACGACGATAGAAGATCACTTGAAAGCGATGGCGTTTGGTTTACTATGAGTCTATTATATCGTCAAAACTTTATGACGAAATTCATAGAATCAAATGTATACAGGTAAAAAATATGTACAGTGTGCGTATGTATGGTAATGACCTACCTACTGGTAATCATATTTAGGAGGGGATTTATTATAACAGGTACCTTCTATGCCATGCATTCAGTTCATGTACTGACTCAACTCCCACGACACTGCAACTGTAATACGAATTGTAAATGAGACCATCAGTGTCGTAAAGAGTCGAGTCTACAGGTATCAATCAATACAAAACAAATCCTCGTTATAGACAGAATTTTTAAGCATCAAAACAACTTGGTTCTTCTTCACTTGTCATCCAAATACTTCATTCCTCGTTGTTAATGGCCCCTACCTTAGCATAGATACCATAAATCGGGAAAAATCTGTCCACAGGCGTCCATGTCGTCATCGTCGTTAAGACTCCTGCTTGATCGAATGAGCTTTCGTGAAGCAGTGGCAGCCATAGCATTCTTTACTACCAGACGGTGAAGTACATAGTAAATCTCCATCCTCGATTCCGAGCCGTCATTTGTCTGTAAAGCACTCTGTCTGTAGATAGGACCCATTGTCTGTGCAGCAAACGCAGCATCCAAGTCCACATGTACTTGGCCAAGACAGTGTTTCTTGTTGAAACCAGGTGCAACACTCGACACCTTAATAGTCACCTCATGATACTGTTCATCCTTTTCTCGTCGCTCAAAGATAAACTTTTCGTCAAAGACAAATTCCCTGTCGTTTCGTTTAGGCTGAGCAGAGACTTTGGTCGTCGCACCACTGCGGATAGAGCAGCTTATATGGTGTGGCAATGACAATTGCCCTTGTGGCCGCTTCGTAGCGTTCCAGATCGATGCCTTTTGTACTCTACCAGGGCCCATTGTACTTCCACGGTCGTGTTCGTACGCACTCGAGTCAATAACTTTCTGAATCGCCACTACGACAATCTCACAAATGTCACCTCGTGCATCTTCAGTGCTCGTTGCCATTGGTTCGTCCACCCCTGTTGGACTGCTCTGAGTACCCCACAACTTTATGCGTGGTGATGGAAAGGTCTTTGCCAAGAAAAGCTTAGTAAGTGATGTCAATGATGGCATCACCGTCTTCTTAGTAATTAACGTAAGCGGCTGCGCCGCCAATGACGGTTCCTGACAAGCAGTCGTGTTCGATAGTAGCAGTGGCATGATCGAAGAAAGTGGCTCAGAGAACGTGTCAATTCCTGGCACTTGTCGATCCAATGCTTTCAAGGACTTTCGTAGAATGCTTGACGTTTTTCCAAGAAACGAGCGATCAAGAGCATGATTTTCTTCCACTGTCGCCATGGCTGACGTACTTTGACTTCTACTGACCACATCTGAGCCAGATACAGACCGCAACTAGGAAAAATAGAATGCAAGACGATAACATCTTGTGATTCTTTGGTCAGTTTCTAGCTCCCTATCCTCATCTTTGGAGCCTTTAGAGACAATTCCAGCAGCATTTTACTAGAGCATTTGCATTGACTCCTACCATAAAGAGATCACTAATACATGTACCTATATATGTACGAGTGAATGTAGCTACTGGTCGTCAATATGATGTAACCGATTGAATGCTGCACGTATAAAACCCCCCATTACTACGTAGAATCACGACCGTTATCAGAATTCCAGTCGACACGAGCACTACTTCGTCGCGTTTCTGAATCTGAGTCCGCCCTGAGTCGATCTGATTCCATCCTGAGTCTATCTGATACCGTCGACGATCTAAGAGATGGAGTCGCTGTTTGTGCGATCGCTGGCGTTCAAAGTAGCAACAGACGACACGCAAATACTAGCGAGTGCTTCTCGTACCACAGCTGATGCTACTTTTGCCGTAGCTAGTACACAGGAAGGCGTTATTCGCGTCTACGCAGCCTCATGCGCTGCACTATTGCATGAATTCGCGTCCATTCACCGACGGGTGTACACTTTACATTACACGAGCTTTTCCGATAGTTTAGTGACACTAGAAAGTGATGTACAGAGACAAGACAATTACGAGGTTGACGCCGGTGAGACATTTCTGTGTGTTTACCACGACTGGCGAGAGCGGAAAATGGTTAGGGGTTATACGCTACCCCTAGGGGTCCTTGACACGCCGTCGTCCACTTGTATTGCCAATTGTATGGCTGTCTGTAGCTTTACAGGACGTGTCCTTGTGGCAATGGGTACAATACTTAATATCTGGCAATGCAGTCGTGGGTTTTTTGAGCACGTGATGGAGCTAAAAGTGGATATGTCTCAACGTCATGCCTTTATGGAGGTAGAATATGTAGCCATTCATGGTCTTTATGTGGCTTATGCTTCCCAGACTGAGGTTCGAGTGATGGAAATTCAAGTTCAAAGTGCTCGCGATGTGAATGAGATCGGGGGGAAAGTAAATGCAACCATGGAAAATACAAGTAAGAAGCAGGAAGAGGGAGATGCAGTACCTCCAGACTCGCGACAATGTGTGGAAATCTCAAGTTTTGATGATTTGAACAAGTTTGTGGAAGTTCCAGTGTCGTGCTCGGCGTACAGTACGATTGAAACGGAGACAAAACGGGAACAAGAGGAACAGCGGATTTTTGACGAACAGGAGCAGATTCCAATGGTACTTGGACGAAATGAGGCTCAACAGGAAGTCTGGAATCTTGCAGGTCTAGTCAAGAGTCAAGATATTCGTACAAACCAAGCTATGTCGTATTTCATTAGTGAAAACGACGTGAGGGTGCTAATGCAGCGCTACATGCCGCCTAATTATAGTGTACGGTCGCTGAAGTTTTTGCCTGAAACTATTGACAATCGTGTGTGCGTCGAGACTAGAAGTTACACGCGTTTGTTGGTGGCTACGGAGAAGAATGCGTTCCTGTATTACTTTTTGTCTGAAAAAGTCGACTTAACAAGGAAGAAAATGTCAAAGAAAGTATTGGGCAAGGAAGAACGAACAAAATTGAGAGGCATGCACGAACCAATTCAAGTGGGGAAGGTCGTTGTGGGAAAGAGTCGAGATTTCTTTGCTAGTGTGGAGGAGAATGAGGACGAAGCAGGCGGCTCGACAGAGTCTGGGCGAGTGGTAATGCATTACAGCTTTACTTCGGCCGTTACCAGTATCACAGCCAACAGCTCTTTCCTGTTTGTCGCAACACTGTCGGGACTACAAGTGTGGTCCATTTGGAGCCCATGTCACTATGTAGCAGCCAGTCGTGCGTTAAGCAAGTCGCTCGTGCCTCAGCCATCACAGCCGCAGCTCCTGTGCACGCAGCCTATTCCGTATCCGGTATCACAGCTTGCTGCACTTGACTCGTACGTCGTCTTGCTCCCACAAATGAATTCGTTGGCGTACCAAACGTCAAATAATATCGTGCACATAGCTAGTCTTGCTGCAGCCGAGCGTCTTCCAGAGGCAGAGTTCGAGATGCGTACACGTCTCGACTTTAAGGCAGACCCCTGTCAGCGCAGCATCATGATTTTCCAGCAAAGTCCACCATCGTTGATATATGCCTATGTGCGCCAAGGTGTGCTATCCACGGACGGTGCCATGAGGCCGTTCCAGATCGACTTGCTGTTGAGCTTGTTTTCGCTGTATCGTTATCGTGCCGATGTGGGTTTCGACTTGCTGCGTCTTGCAATCAGCAACGACTCAATTCGAAAAGAGGTTGCCGCTTTGACATCGGACCGAAAAGAGAAGCTGGCTCTTGAACTTGAAACGAAGCTGTATGACCGCCTTGCTAGGGAATGTGCGTCTGATCTTGCAGCAATTTTCATGTCGGAGCATCATCGCAACTTAGGACGGGCTGCTCTTCTGTTTGTAGCGTCTAATGTTCCATTTGTTGAGGTGATGCACCGTTTTCAGGCTATTGTCGGGACTGTGGATCGATCTGAGGTTATTGGAGCTACAGGAAAATACCTGGAAGCATTTGTGTTCCCGCCTCCCAAATCACTTGCCGACATTTGTTCTTGTAAACTCGTGCAAGATCTAAATCCAGCGGATGCCAAGTTTACGGGAATCGTGTTGTTACATTATGGCAAATACTTTCCGGAGCAACTTTCTCGATTAATTGTCGATTCTTCATTGAAGTGGACGCTGGAAGACATCACATTTGCACTAGAAAAGCTGGACGAGTCCTCTAGCCACAGCGTCCTCGTCAAAATTGCACGACTTGTACTAGTTTTACGTGCTGCTACCTTCTCAACGGAAGATTGGAATGTATTTGGGACTTCGGAGGGGTCTTTGATGATGGACTTTGCTGAGCAATGCTCTTATGCCTCCATGCTTGCTTTGTTGGACGATCTGTTACAGCGTCACGTAGGTGCCCTCGTACACTTAGCAGTGACGCATCCAGATCTGCTTGTTCAGGACATTGCAATCATCTCTACGGGCGAAAACAGTGCGCTTGAAAGTAGTAGACGCCTCTCCAGCTCTAACCTAGCAAAGGCACTGATGAAAGATGCTCCATTGATATACTTGGATATCTTGGAACGAGTGTTCAACAACGCAATCGGTCGCCAAGAAACAATCCAGTCCACACTACGTTTTTGCTTGAATGCAATCGGTGAAGCTGCAATTGGGTCAGCATCAAGAATTGAGTTTGCTCTAAACACTACGTCGTGTTCATCGTCAGCAGATGAACAATTGCCAACCACGCCTTTCGTTCCAGACCAATCTCTTGTGCTTCGATTCCTAGTGTTTGTGCTTCAGATGTTCCCGACTCTTGAACAGTTGTCAGAGACGGAGAAAATTCAAGATGATAAAGACGACTTGCAGAGTGTCAAGGCATCGGTGGCAGCAGAATTAACACGTCTGTGTGTCAAGTTGAGCTCGTGCTTTCACGGCTCAGTAAGTTACGATTTGGGTGAACGTGTGGAGTCGATCGTGTGCGACTTGTTTGAACCAATGATTTCGGAACCAGATACCCACGGCCAGCTTCCCGGTTGGGTACAAGAATACTTGAAAACACACTGTCTGCCGGAGACACCTCGACTGCGCAGAATTCTCGAGTTTCTTTTCAACCAGGTGCTCGGATTACTGCACGAGAACGATATAATTCGTCCCGAAGATGTGTTGTCAGCGTACGAGGTACTCGACGTAAACATCTCGGAACCGATGCCTTGGAATCTCGAAAACAATTTGGCTGCACTTGTTGTCCTCCTAACTTTGCCTCGTGTTACCAGGTGCGCAAGCAGTTGTCGGATGTTTTCGGTTTGGGATACTAATAAATGAAGTTGTGGCTTGCTTACAGAACTGTGGACGGACTAAAACTCATCGCCCAACGCGCTGACTTTGTTAATTTATTCTTGCCGTACGGCAAAAGCTTCTGCAGCACGTTGGATGAATGGCGCTTTTTAATCAGCACCTTATCTTCAATTTCACAGAACGCATCCGAGGTACGAAGTCATTGACAAAATGCGTCAATTTGTGCTGCTAAGCTTTCGTTCGCCGTGCTTTTATCTCGCAGGTCGATAACAGCATAGTCCACAACGAGGGTGCAGTTTTACAAAGTATTCTCAACCACGTGTGCTCAACGCTCAGTCCAGAAGAGTTGCTCCAGGTTCTGCCCGACGACGGCGATCTTGAAGTGTATGTGTCGACGATCGAGGTCAGCATGCGTCTGGACCAGGTGCGAAAAAAGCAGAAGGATAGCCAATTTACAAGTGCGGTTGCTGGTTAAACGCTAGACTCTACCTCCATCATTCTCAATCCGCATCAGCAGATTTAGGCTCAGTAACAGCAACTTGCGGCCTAAAAGCCGCTCCTTGTTTCTCCATTAGCTTCGTAATAGCTTCGATGTACTGTTTACCGGAAGCAAATGGAAACACAAACGTCACGATTGTTTTGCAGCGTTCATACAATGAGAGAATGCTTAGACTTACCGCAGCACGAGTTTGTCGAAAATGTGTTTTCTGTTTGACTTGAACAAACGTTCGAAACTGAATGACCCATCGCTTATCAGGCTCCAATGCCACAAACCCCTCGTTGCCTCGCGCGCGCTGTATAATACTCTCTTCTTCCTGTTGGTTCTTATCAAACAATAGTTTGGTAACGGTTTCAGATGCCGCCGTGTTTGTGAATCCAGATACAGACACACTTTCGTGTGGTGTCGACGCATCAATGAATGAAGAAGTTTCTCCTACATCTAAAGTGGCACTTCCATCGGGTGCGATGGCAACCACTGGATTCCACAAAAGTAACCGATCCATGTCCTGTACAAGCTCGCGCACACGCTTGGCCGGGAGATCTGTTGGTAGCCGAACATCCAGTCGAAGTGGCCACAGAAACTTGTGAAATACCTCAGTTGTGTTGCCAACTGTACCGCCTGCAGGAATGAATGTCTTGGTATTGTCACGTGTAGCCAGTACAATGAAACCCAGTGGTGCATCACAAATTTTTCCTTTTCTTGAGCCGTGCAAATAAATTCTTGAGTCGAGATGCAACATATTGGTCAGAAACATGTAGTGTGCACCCATGACATTGCGTAACTGTGAAACATAATAATATCATATCAAATAATAATCGCACATGTTAGTACATAAACTCTTATGAATTAATACCCTTCCAAAAACATTTATACTCTGTACCAATGGTAATGTAGCCAATGCAATGGATACATAAAACCCTACCGAGAACAGCAACTTGAGCTCCCTTGATCCTTCAATCCAAGGAGTAATGTAATACGTGTATACAATAAGCACCAGTAGCAGCATTTTGGCCAATGTGCTACCTTCGTACAACAATGTCATCCGACCGGATTTCTCGTCGTTTTTATACCCTACCACACCATTCCGAACAATAACTTCTCGCAGTACATTTCCTCCAGCGTCCAACCAGATAAGAAAGCAAACCCCAAAACCCCATGCTGGCCAATCATCGAGTAAGAGGGACAGACGAGACACAAGAATCGTGATCCATAACAGTCCGACTCGACACATAAGTGATGTCTGCCACATCATCATTTGTCGAGCTTCGTTTGGCCAGCTACAGAGGTTATCATTAATTCTTAGAATGTATGCAATTACACAGGGTATAAGATTATACGATACATACATCCATTTATTGGGGCAAGCTTTACGGACGATCCAGAAGAGACAGCGAGCAATGGAATTGGCCAATACAGTCGATAGAAAGAAGAGAATGACAGAGACATAGGTGTTGATGCTACCACTTTTAGTCTCACGCCACCAGTGATCCCACGCTTCGTGTGTCGACTGCGAGGCCATTAAGGTGAATATTTTGATACAAAGTGATATTCCTAACGTCTTATTGGTCAAAAATAGTATTCACAGTGTCTTATTGGTTAAAAAACCAGATATACAACGTCTTATTGATCAAAATTCAAAAGCGGGTCTACTGCATCTCTCGCCTCGTCTATGGTCAGAGCCCCTTGTCCGGTCGTAATTGCCTCTTTTTCCTTGTCCAACTTGCGTACGTAAGCACGACGATCACGTTCACGCATTCCTTCCAATGAGCTTTCAAATTCTCGCTCCTTCTTCTCATGTTCTGCTAGCAATTCTTGTTCACTAAAAGTGCAACAAGAAGCACAATGACGCAATAGTTAATCGACTGCAGCATGAGCAATAGCAGCTTCTTATTGTATTTAGACGCACCTTGCAACGATCTCCTTGGTCAAACAGCATTTAGCACAGATATCTCGTTCCTACAATCAACAAATCAATCAACAAATTGTCAGCTACCTTTGTATTTCATTGCAAAGCTACAATTTACATTGTCAGTAGTGTATAAAGATGAACCTTGGCACATGAATCACAGGAAGAATGATAGGCAGACGTCACGTTCTTTTGATGACAGAAAATGCTACAATCATGGACACATTGCAACAGTATCAACAATAACAACATTGTTTAGTCTCTCCACCCTACTACTCAGGTGTAATACAGTAATTAAAGTAGATCAAAGGCAGTGGTGTACCAGGAGCCTGGTTGAGTAAGAGGCTTGTATTTGCGATACTTCTTGCGCCACTCGATTTGTTGATGGCATTTCTCACAAAGTCCATGGATAGGCATCGACATAATACGCTCCGTCTTTTTAGACTTAGGATTGTGCTTGAATGCAAACGAATTCTGATGCTTGGGCGCACGTTTCTTCATATTACCACGCTGCGAACTCATATTCAATTACTTGGCTGCAAATTAATTGAGCCCAGTCAAAAGAGTACTAAAGATGGTGTGGACAACGTCAACTATATAAAAAACAGTGGTCTTGTCTAAGGAGCTCATCTTCTCAAATTTATCGACATTTGATTGGTCATAATGCTAGATATGAACATTTTGTCTTTCTTCTTCACTAATTATATGCTCGCTTACAATATCGACTGCAATCGCCGTTCTCTTTCTCATCACGTCTTCTTCCAGATACACACTCGGGAACAATCCATCTAGACCCTGAACTGAGACATCCTTGACCTCTTTCTTCATCTCTTATGGTGACTTGATAGTGTAAGCAGCAGCGCCCAAACTGATAACTCCAGCCGCAGCAAAGACCGCGTATGAGCTTGAAGGTCCCTCCACATTGTTAATGAGCTCGGGTTTGTACGTCCAGAGGCTGTGACGCACCGCGCAGAGCACGTGATAGCTCGCAGGAAATGCCACGAGCAGCTTAGAAGCCGGCGCAAAGAAAGGGATGGTGTCTTGCGCCATGTAGATGAGTCCAGGCACGTCAGCACCCACGAAGCCCAGTGCACTGCCACCTACAAAGGCAAACGACATGCCGACGGCCGAGAAACGGTTTGCAATGGACGAAATGGCGCTCACGGGAAACTTGTAGATGGTCACATTAGGCGAGATGGGACGACCCAATGCTTCCTGTCTAGATGAGTAGTTCTCTGTACTCACAGCGCGTGCGAGTGTCGGCGTCACGGCGCGACTCGCTAGCTTCTTGCTCAGTACCTGAAGACTCATTATTTGTATGATTCGGGAATGACGCTGGCTGTGTTGAAACTGCAGTTCCAGAAATACATGCCGTTTGGAATCGTGATGAATATGTATTTTACTTGATCTAGCACCTGTCAAAAATAGTATCTCTTATCAACACATCGTTGCAAGATTCGAAGTAAAAGATAATGAAAGTTCTGATGGCTGATATGATTGGTTAAATATACGTACGTTTCAGCCAATGTCGTGAAGAAAACGGTTTTGGGTGATCCACAGACCTCATGACAATGCTGACCACGACGCTGCGCCGTACAACGGCCTCACAGCGCGCGCTCGCGCTGCTACAGAGTCAACGTCGTCATGGCGGTTCAGTCAGCAAGAATAAACATGTTGAGGTGTGTATCCGAATGTCTTTTTACACTCTCAAACTGCCTTGAAATCATGTGAAAAAGCTCATAAGTCTGTTACAATTAATACTACCTTTCATACTTATTTGACTTGTAGAACTGGAACAATTGGCGAGGAGACTCGGAAAAGCGTTTCAAATTCAACGGCCATTTCTTCACATATCTGGCGGCCGGGGGGATCTTTCCTTTTACGCTCTATTACGTCCTGGGCTCCGACGAGCGTGTACGGGGCTATATGTCGTCTGCTTGAGGATTAAATGCCTCTGCTAGTGGCTGCAATGATCTTACTATGTGTATGTTGACAGCGCAAACGTGATGGGCACAATGGCATTCCAGGCAACTTTCGTCAGTAAAATGGACAAGATGAAGGACGTGAAGGAGACTAATAATAGTCATGTCGTCAAGATTGCATGGATAGATAAAGCTCGTGGCTATCGGTATTACTCCTCATTGAATGAATAAAAGGTGGCCGTGTCGACGGGTGAACATGATTAGAAGTTGCACTTGTCAATACTGAATCAAACCTTCTTTCCCAGAACTTGTAGCACTGTCTAAATCAATAATTTATACTTGTCATGGAACAGGTATCACATCGTACTTGACATGGTGCGTGATAGTTTTCTTTCGTCTCCTGATAATGCATGACAATAGACAAGCAAAGGATTCCCACAAAGCGACGGTGGAAGCATTTTACGTCCGTGTCATACATCGCGTGTGTTCTTTGTATCAAAATGAAAGCGAGTCGCCCTCAGACGAAGCCATTGCTCAACTACAGCAGGTTCGTTCAAGTTTCTCCTCCAGTCATTCTGTTGGTCTCATTGTGAGGATAAAAATGCTGCCATAGAAATGGCAGGAAACATTGAGGTTATACACGGGAAAGCAAGAGCCTTTTCATGCATTGGCAGATGAGGACGACGTTTTGGTGATCGAGTCCTCGACTGAAAGTGAACACGTGAGTGACGAATCATCGTCCACATCATCGTCATCGTCGAGTTCCTCTTCCGACTCAGAAACCACTTCAGAACAAGCAGTCGGTCGACCGAGTGTACAAATGGTACGGCACTTGAAGTGGTTTGAAAGTGCTAGTAAACAGCTGATTGAATTGTGTCATGTAGCCAAGTGCAGCGACATCGTCGATATTCGCCAAAATGGTAAAGAGTCAATTGCAGTAGTAGTGCTGAAGTAATTTTGGACGGAAAAGGACTGAGAACGTGGTCGTGTTGTGTGTCGAACAGCTTGGAGGTAAGCGAAAACTGCATCAGCTAGATGGGTCAGCATCGGATGCTGAGGATGGCGTCAAACTGCAAGGAACCGCTGATCTGGAGGTTTGGCTCATCTTCGTTAGATATCGTGAGGTCTACGTGGAGCTTTATCTAGCTTTGTTTGTTTTACGTTGTTAGTGGAGGCAAGAACTACAACGACAAAGCACAGGAGCAGCTGGAAATTCACCAACAGCGTTGAGAGACTCGTTCGATGAACAAGAAGACAATTTGGGAGACGAAGTAGAAGATAAAGAGGACATAGAGGAGAAGGAGGCTCACCGAATGACTTGTGAAAAAGAAGGGAATGAAGTGGATGCTTTGGAACTCGACGGACAGCTATCGCCAAGTCCAGCACATTCAGACATAGCAACGTCGTTGCTCATCTCTTCGGACGATTTGGCTCCTGTGTCGGGCCTTTCAGGGATTAATCTACCTTTACAGCTTGCTGCTGAGTATTCCAAGTTTACTTACCGTGGAAAACGTCGGGGATACACTGGTCAGCTGCACGCAATTGTATTGACATGGCCAAACAGGTTGGGGGTACGAGAAACAATTTGTCCCGGTGAGCTCGTGTGGTGCTATCCCAACTCAGCACCAAGATTTATTGATGAGGGAGAACTTGTAAAGGCGATATCGGCGGGAGACACTGGGCATGAGCTGAAAGTTGAGCTTAGCAATGGGAAAGTAGCTATGGTTTCGATGGATAGGATACGTCGTTTATGCGAGTACTTAATTCGCCGTGGTAGCGTACGCTTCAATACCGAGCAGTAGCGTCATCATTCTTCAAGGACTACGTAGGCAGCCGGTAAATAAGATATGGACCTTACAACAATATGCTCTCAATGCATCTCATGTGACGTCGGAATCTACATATAACATCTTTGCACTGGAACCAACTCCACTGACGACGACATTATATGCTTTGGGAACATGATTGAGTTCTGTACCACGTCATCGAAAGAGCAAACACGGCGGACTGCAAAAACAAGTCTTAAAGAGGCTATAACTCTGCTGTCGCTGATCGATTGGCACATCGTAAGTGCTTGACAGGCAAGTATTCTTTGGTTCAAAAGCTTGGCATAGGTGCTTCTTGTTACGACAAGGCAAGCTATTTGCGATTACGATATTCGTTCCTCAGAAAAGGAGCAAGAATGTTTCAAAATGCCGAAAAATTCTGTTCTGGCCGTTGGGCTTAACGACCCAACATATCGCAAATTCTCTGTAGCTATGTGCTCTGCTGAAAGAATCCCAGTAATTATTCGTTTATTATATATCTACTATTGTAACGGGCTAAAAGCTACACGGTTCGTTAAGTATCGAATACTTAACGGGGAGGTATAAAAACGAGGTACCTTAGGCCTACTATTTGGGTGCGGCACATCAATGTGATCCACCCTCGTGAATGTGATATCCATGGATGGATTCACATTCAACGAGGAAGACGCCAGTTGGGACTGGGCGTGATGATGACGTCACAGACAGACGCCATCAACGAGCTTAAATATATGTTTAGCTCGCACGCACGGATACGCTTCTAGAAAGACGCGTATCCAATCTTTGCATAATTAGCCAATCAGTAGTTGAACTTTTATTTAGTTACCTTCTATAAAATATAAGTCAGTCTTGAATTTACTACATCACACTCACTGCGCACTAGAAAACTGAAACAGCTTCCGTAACGCAGGTAGGTGCTTATTCTAAAATTCGTTGCGCGGATAATTTGAAGCGGCCGGCAACAGTTGATACTGCGCTTTAAGTGCCGACCAACACCCTTACCACCGCACGCGGAGGTAAGACGATCTAACCGCTTCCTCACGCTGCTTGAAGGTGTGTGCCCGCGTAGTACGTGAAAGATTCCTTTCGAAGCGCCTGTCTACAACTGTTGTTAGTTGGGATTTCAAAAAAGTGTCTTGTGTCTAATTTGAACTAGCATGACGGTCATTCTTTTTGATAGTTGCTGTCTCTTCTGGAACTAAGCCCGTGTCGCATTTTATAATTGCAGTTGAAGCGGTTCTCGGCTGCTATTGTCACCAAACTGCGTGCACAGACAATGTCAATGTACAAGCTCGGAACGTTAGATTTGCCAAGAACGCAGTTAGAAATCTATTAAGTCAAAAAGTAGAAATGTTTTTAGTTCAAGGTATACAGCCCCTGGCCGGCTAAGGACAGCATATATATATGGTGGTCGACAAAAAATTTGAACGGCGAGGTGTGTTGTAGACTGGCTCTTGAAGCTGTTACGTACTTAAAGCACACTGTAACAGGGCACCTCCGATTGTACTAATACATTATAATCTGCTTACAGTGTAGTGCGTCAGTGTAAGTAGATTGTACTCTTCTCTATGTCACAGTAAGCAGCTTCTTGTTAATTAGCCCACCGATGCCTCAAATATTAGATTGTAATGAGTCAATAGCAAATGCTTCCCCAATTTATCAAGATATGAATGGTCGGAATGTTTTGCTTCCCCATTTTACAAGTAAAATAGAACGTCAACAATAATAATTAACTTTTTCATCTCCATTATAACCACAACGAACAGCCTTGCACCACCCCCGCAGCTTGCATATGCATCCCAGGAACAAGCAAGAGCCGCGTTTATGCCTAAACACAGCAGGATGGTTATATTGTAGCAATTAGACGTACAAGAAGGATCGGCAATGAGTTAGACAGTAATGTCGTAGCTTCAGTTGGTGTCAATACTCCAACCTTTTTTTAATGGTGGAAGAACAGCTTGCTTGAATGTGTTTGGGTCAAGACTTTTTTGTCTTTTGACGATGTAAGGGCTCTTAGATGCTAGAAGAAGTCGATTCGTGTTAGTGAAAAGTATACATGCAGTATGTATGTTGGAATATGTTAGGCTCGAGATTGTAAAACCGTTGAGCCCAGTCTCACCTGGGAAAATGTATGTTTACGCAGGGAATACGGGAAAGGTATGTGATACATATAGTTGTAGTGTGTAAAGTCATATGTACATATATTGCCAATAGCAAAATCTCGCCAGTATTACTACTTGCTGGATCAGTTGGCAATTGAATAGGCAAAGAAAAAGAGATACCAGAAAAATACACTGAACATTTTCGGTGCTCAATGACCTCCGATATTAAGAAGTGCTACAAACAGGACGAACATTGTCGCCTGCTGTTGGATGATTTTAGTGGGCGAAAGGTTACCCTTCCGTCGCACCTCAAAGCGAAACTAAATCGCTTTAGTTACAGTGATGGCCCATTATGGCATCAACTGTCACCTTGTGATACCTTGAGAATCGATGTCCCTCATGACACAGATCTCAAGCTGATGATACTTCACGAGTGCCATGATGCGCCATCTAGTGGGCATCGGGGCCATGAAAAGACATTCTTACGAGTGTCAGAGGAATTTTGGTGGCCCCACCTATATCGGTGGGTGACCAACTATATTTGCTCTTGCGAAGAGTGTCATCGCATAAAGCCTGCACCTTCGAACAGTGCGCCACTGAAGCCACTGCCGATTCCAACGGATTGTTGGAAGTCGATCAGTTTGGACTTCATGTTTGGCTTACCGCCTGACCATAAAGACAGGACGGGGCTTGTTGTCTTTGTAGACAGACTGAGCAAGATGGTGCTTTTGGCACCATGTAGCACCAAGATCTCAGGAAAAGAGGCTGCCTTCTTTTTTCTGGATCATGTGTACCGACTACACGGGATGCCCGAATTCATATTATCGGACCGGGATCCGCGTTTTACGTCAGTTTTTGGCGTCATGTGTTTGAGCTGCTAGGTAGCAAGCTCCATATGTCAACAGCCGATCTTCCCCAGACCGACGGTCAAACCAAACGGGCAATCGAGTCGTGGCGAATGTATTGCGCACAAAAGAGACCCTTAAGAAATGGAGCAAGCAATTGACATTCGTGGAGCTCGCTATTCATAACAGTGTTCCCGCCCGTACGGGTGAAACACCGTTTTACATTAACGGACTGCGCCATCCTCGGACGCCAGTCTCATTTGTGCGCAGCCCGAGTTTTAGTGGGGGAGGGCCCCTCACTTCGCTCAGTGCGAATGCCAAAAAGGGCCAAGGTTGCCCTAGTGACACTTCTTGTTTAGCAAAGGTCATGCCACCTATAGGTTGCACGGAAGGAAATGCCAATGCTCCTAGACGATGACACTATGGTGTTATCAACAGCGTCGACCCATGACTGAACTCTTGGAGATTTGAAGGTGTCATTGGCGAACCGGATGCTAAAAGCGTGAGCGAAGCTCAGCGCTTTGTGGATGAGCGATTAGCCATCACACGTAAAGTCCGTGACGCGATGGCAAGCGCACGGGACAAGCAAAAACAATATGCAGACCAGGATGGTCGCAAAAACAATGAACATTTTAGTGTTGTGGACAAAGTGCTATTAAGTACTGCTACCCTACCTAAACATGCAATTTCTGTACTACCTGGTGGTACTACTAAGCTATTGCCCCGATTCATTGGGCAATTTAAGGTGGTTGAAGAAGTTGGAGACCTAAACTATAGGCTGACTCTCTCATCGTAGACACATCCCGTATTTACGTGGGTCATCTGAAACGGTATGTGAATCCACAAGAGACCACATATCCGCATCAGTCTAACGTGACCAGTGGTGATGCGACTGTGAGTCGAGCGTCGTTGCCGATCAGGCGTCGAGCGACCCTCAATTGGCAAGTGATTTGGAGAGAAAGAAGGACTCCGCGCTTATCGCGAATCTCTCATCACCAACCATCCAAACAGGTCCAGACGAAGTTTCAGCCGTTGGCGATCCTTCGCGCGAACACCGCACCGATCCGAAGTCAGTCGTGAAACTTGGCTCTCAAGAACCGCAACTGATCTATATACTGCAGCGCTCTGCACTTATGGATAGAAGCAAAGTAGTACGTGGGAGCAATCGCCGCTTCTATTGGGCGCCAACTGCATTGGTGATGCGGGTAGGAGCAAACTCTTCCTTGTTGGAACGTTGTTGGACCACCGCTTTGAGAAGCAAAATCTTTAGATCCTCGTCCAATGAAAAAGGACACTCGACTCTTGGGAGCCGGTTTATGCGCTGCTCGTCGAAGTACAGGAACTAGTGACTGCTTATGGCAGAAGAACCAGCTACAGCCACTCCGCTTAGCGCAAAAAGGACTCGCACATGACGAAATTTTAATCGACCGTCGTGCTTCCTTAGTATAACGCACCGCTAGCGCTTGACGCCGAATCGCATTAGTCAACCACTTTGTAGATATATGTGATAGACCGCCGAAGCTCAACTGTCGTATAAAAAATGCGGGTGATACTAAGCTGGGCGCCTCTGTCGCGTCCCCGACTTCTACTCTTTTTTGGCGAGCATTGCAGCAATGAAGTGACTGCGGCTATATGGACGTCATCGAACCATTCTCTTGCTGTGTGCAAGATTAACACGATGAGAGTGATCTTGCATGCTCGTTACTGTGAACGTATATACTTCTTTGAAAGTTTCGAGTATGCTCTAGAGCAATTTGCGTCTCTATGTTGCCGTTTCTATAAATGCAAGCGTGACGCTCAATCGACGAGCTTCCTGCTTGCTGAATATCGAGTATGTATCATTCAATAATGCTGTGATTTCTTACGTTTTGTGGTTTAGTATCGTAAACCACTAATCTAGCATAGAGATAGAGAGATACAAAAAATTGCTGCATCATTTACTATATGTCAACGCGCCAAAGTTTTACGGTTGCTGTCAGACGTGATTCAGCTATTTTGCGAGCTATGTCCATAAAAGGTGTACAAAATCAACAGTGCTGGAAATAACGTT